TTGGCGATCCATCCGCGTACTGCCCCGTCGCGCGGGCAATCGCTAGCGACGTAGGGGACATAGAGCGTGGTCGGCGCGGGTCGTACGAGTCGTCGAGGCTGCCGGAATGCGATGGGCGGCGGCCGTAAGGGCCCGCCCTGTCCGACCGATCCGTCCCGTAGCCCCGCCCACGGCCTCGAGTGCCTTGCCGGCGGTCGCGGTCTCGTCCGCGGCCTCTTCCTCGAGTGTCGCGTGCGCCACCGCGTGCACCACGCATGGGACCCCTGCCGCGGCCCCGTCCACGCCCGTGGTCACCGAAAGAGCCAGACATAGAGGGCTCCTCGTCAGCGACGTATGGGTCAGTAGGAGCCTCAGGTAGTCTAGGGGGCGGCGTAGAGGTCGACTGCTGGGGTTCTGAAATACCGTAGCTGTCGGAGTAGGGATCGTCGTACGGTATTGGCGCGGGCCGCGAGGGGCCAGCGCCATAGTCCATGCCGTAGGGACTCGCGTCGTCATATGGGTTTGCACCGTATGACTCCCCAGTCATGTCCTGGTCGCGCATCTGTGAAGGTGTAGGCGTCGCATGCCTCGAGGAGACTACTGAGCCTGCTCGAGTACGTTCACGTCTGAATGTATCAAATGAATTTAGCCCATTCAGGAAACAGCCGTGCCGGACAAACCTCTGTGCCAGGGAGCGTTTGTGTGCTGCTTCCTGTTCATCGTCAGAGAACTCCAGCTCGTCCTCGGCGGGCTCTTCGTCGTTGACGTTGCTCGCATCACTGCCTTTGAACCGTTTCAGTTGTCGGACAAAGACAAATCGACTGCGCTCTGGGACGTGGAAGACTGGTCGTGACACCTGCACTTTTGTAAGGTCGAGGGGGTACTGGTCGTTGAAGCGAACCTGGTATAGGGGCTGAGTGGTCGGACCGAAAGTCTCGTAGATCTGTACAGGACATATACTAGTCAAACGAGCAGGGATTATATTCGTAATGCATAACTCACATATCCGAGTACTTTCCGATCCTCGAATACAAGCAAGGTGTCCGAGTCAAGGGCCTGTTCAGACGCCCGGTTCGCGAGCTCTGACGGAAGTCCCTTCACAATGACGACCTTGTCGACGATGCTCATGACCTCGCCGACCTTCTCCAGCAGCTCAAGAGGCCCGACCTCTTCAATCTCCGGGATGATAATTGGTGTATCGAGAATCTCATTTTTCGTTTTCAGCAGGGTGTCGGCCGCACCAGCCGGCCCTGCTTCCTCGTCGTCATCCGCATCAACGACTTGAGACGCTGGAGCTTGGGACGTTTTAGTTGGCTCGTCTTCTATGTCGGAGTCAGAACCAGAGCTTGAGCTCGAGTCGGAAGAATCATCTGAATCGCTGGTGGTATCGGAAGGCGCAGGACTACGCAAATAGTCAGCGCCAGAGAGACGATAATGAAATTTGCGGGCGCACACATCGTCGTCCAAGGGGCCGTTGAAGATGTCCGCCTCTACTTCCTGTTCGCTATCTGTGTCGCTGTCCGAGCTAGCGATATCAGGGTCGTCCGTTGTCCCCGAGACTGACGACGTTTTGCTGGATGACGGTACGGGGATCTCCCCGATGATATCCTGGATGAGTCGGAGATCTTGCGCGACAATCGAGGGCACTTTGAAGCCAAGTTCAGAGGCCATCGCCACGTCGGGAGCAAGGAGGCAGAGCAAAGCAGACGGAGGTCATGCAGAGGCGCCGCCTTAGAAATTGGGCTTGCGCGCCAGACGCGTCGGAAAAACTTCGAGCACGACGCGTCTCGCATCCGCCACCAGCCTTTGCCCGCCACCAGCCGCTCCTCCCGCCATGTTCGCCCACGCCGCCGGCCGCCGCGCCGCCTGTCTCGCCGCCGCGCGCAGCTACTCGACGCCCGCAAAGCCCTCCATCAAGCTCGTCGCCGAGCTGCGCAAGCGCACCGAGGTGTCCATCGCCAAGGCGCACCAGGCGCTCGCTGCGACGAACAACGACGTCCCCGCCGCGCTCGCGTGGCTCGAGAAAGACCTGCAGGTGAGCGGGCTCGCGAAGGCCGCGAAGGTGCAGGACCGCGACGCGAGCCAGGGCCTCGTCGGCACGGCGGTCCTCGCGCGCGGGCCCGCGAGCGCGGACCCCGCCGACACCGCGGGCAACGGGCTCCGCGCGGCGCTCGTCGAGCTCAACTGTGAGACCGACTTTGTCGCGCGCGGAGAGCTCTTCGCCACGCTCCTCGCCGACATCGCGCACACCGCTGCGTTCCTCACGGACCCCGCCCCCGCGTCCGCCGGGCTCATCCAGCCCCTCCAGACCGAGGCCCTCCTCGAGGCGCCGCTCCTGTCTGCTGCGGACCCATATGGCGCGGCGGGCAAGGCGTCCCAAACGATCGCGGGTGCTATGCGGGACCTCACTGCGAAGGTTGGCGAGAAGATCTCTCTGCGCCGCGCTGCGGCCGTTGCGCGCGAGCCCCCCGTCCCGCTTGCGACCCGTGCGCTGCGCCTTGCACACTACCTGCACGGCTCTGTCGGCCGGCCGACGCAGGGCCGCATTGCTGGACTCGTCGTCACATCGCTCTCCACACCTCCCGCGCCCTCGCCCTCTCTCGCGGACCTCCTCTCCCGTCCGGAGTTCTCAGCTGACCTCGACAAGCTCGAGCGTGCCCTCGCACGACAGGTCGTTGGGTTCGAGACGAAGTCTATTCGCTCTGCGGAGAAGGACGAGGCAGCACTGTACCAGCAGTCGTTCATGATGTACCCCGGCGCAAACGGGGAGAACGTCGAGGCTGTTCTGCGCAGATGGGCGAAGGAGCGCGGGATGGTTGCGGAGGCGGAAGGCGAGACGCACGGCGGCTTGGAGGTGCTTGAATTTGCGAAGTGGACCGTCGGCGTGTACAACTGAGCGTACTGCGCCCGAGCCAACCCATAGACTGGCATGTGTCCAGCACGCATAAAAGTGAGCACCTACCTGTGGTCCCTCCGCAACATACTAAGGCATCGAATTAGGTTCTACAGGGTGTATACTCACACCCACGTCATCGTAATTTATTCGTACACCCCACTCAACACTCTCAAGGACACTAGTAATGGATGGTGCTGCTATAGCGCTGGATATATGCGCCAACTGTAGGAGAACGTAAGACAGACCAAGTTATCGGCAAGGCAACCGAAACATCCACTTTTCAGCACATCTACTGAATAAATACGAGCCATAACGATACAGCGTGATTGATGCAGGGCGTGCGCAAGATACGAGATGACAATCTACAAGAAGTCATAAGGTCATCAACATTGGTGAACATGCAACGGCGCAAGCTATAAGGCCTTCTCCTTGTGGACCCTCTGTATGCGTGGGACACCGAAGCTGTATGCCAGCGCAAAATTGCGGTAGTCATCCTTGATGCACAGGGTGCTGCAAAACCCGTGAGGACAGCGCGAAACCAAAACATTTTGGGCACTTACAGATCTGCAAAATGCCTGTCAATACACCGAAGGAGCGAACAGGAAAGGTGACAGGCTCACATATGTTTCCTATCACCATCAGATACGTCCCTGTCGCCTGTCGGTATCAAGCTTAGCATTTAGGCACACGCGGGCACTGAGATGACAGGTGGCGCTTACGGTGAATATATGCCACCACGAGTGACCCTCGAGGAGGAACGCAGCAGGCCAGCCCAAGGCATGTTTCCAGACAGTGACAGTCGAGCAAAAGATATTGTCGAGGTTCCAGACAGCGAAACCGAGGATGAACAGCAGCACGCCAGTTGTAAAAACACGTGCAATAGACTCCTTCTCAGCGTCAGGCAACCGCTCTGCTATTTCCCGGTCGCGCAGCAAATGTGCGGTGCGGAACACGTTCGTAAACATGATGGTGGCAAAGACGACCTGATGGTAAATCGGATTGCGGCTCAGGTAACTGCGTGCGCGGATGAGGGAGAGAATGTGGATCGGATTGGGGTACACGAGACGTACTATGACCAGGTGAACAGCGCATTGAAGAGGAAGTAGCCTAGAAAGAGCGGGATCGCGTTCGAGTTGCGCCAGCTGAAACCACGCTGAGTGTCGAACAGGATGACAGAGCAGTAGCTCGCGACGTAGACCATCGGGAGCTCGTCCGCGAGCTGCGCCTCGAACAGGAGAGTTGCATGGAAGATGAAGCTTCCCAGCCCGACGAGCGCGAAGCCCTGCGCGTTGGGGCGGTTCGTTCAGCGCGCGACGATAGGGCAATGCGGAAAACAAACCGTGTATCCTGTCAGATACCGCTTGGGCAGGCCCTGCGACTGTGCTTGTACGGCACCGTACAGCGCGAGTCCAATCGTAAAGAGGTTAGAGAATGTGTTCGCGGCTTCTGCGATGTATCGCGAGAACTGGTAGTTTGCCTGGCAAGAGGGTCCACGAATGAGTTCCGTGCTGCTTGCTCCTCATAGAAGAGTAGACTGTACGACCTCGCACCAATCGAGTGTGGCCGTGATGGGCCCCCAGAATTGATGCGCCATATCCGCCGCGGTGGTGTTGCTGAACGACATCACTCACTAGCAAGCACACAAGACGCGGAGAGCAGGGCGGGCGGAAGGGTTGGTTACATTGCGGGGGCGCGCTTTTTATGGAAAGGACGACGGGTGCATGACGTTGTCCGATTGACGCAGGCCAGAAAGCCGGCAGTCCACTCAGGGCCGATCTCTTACTCAGGAGCGTTACAATTCGGGTAATCTCGGCTTTCCCCCTTTGCAGACAGCGTCCATTTCTCCAGGGTAAACGTTGCCATGTTCGCTGCGAATTATGAAGAGCCTCGAGCGCGTCGCGAGCGGGGATAGACGGCTTCGGAGGAGGACATCCTCGACGCGGAACTCTTCGGACGTCGGCCCGCGCGGATTCCGATCACACCAACATCCCCGATCGGACATCTCTCTTCTTCCAACCTTCTCGACAGGTCGACATTTCAGGTTGTCGCAGAAATTCAAAGAAAATGCGAAAAAATTGGGGAAAAAGTCTCCAATCGATGTACTGTTCTCCTCAATGTTCAGCGTGGCTCTATAGCTCAGTGGTAGAGCATGCGATTGCAGCAATTGCTTACGTAAGATATCGCAGGGTCCCGTGTTCGAACCACGGTGGGGCCTGATTTTTATGGAATTTTATCGGAATTTTGCGATAGCCTACATGTTAGTCATTCACTTACGTGAGGATATAATCCGAGGCGGCACGTGAGCGCCCAAGTTTGCCGCGTCTCCGCGCGTGCGCGCTCAGCGATCGTGCTCGCCGACGACCACCATGAAGGCCGCCACCAGACACCTCGTGCGTAATGCTGCTCGCCGACGACAGATTCACCATTCTTCCTCCGATATCAACCCACCAGTCCAAATCACCACTCTTCCCAACAAAATTCGTGTAGCAACAGAATCAACTCCTGGGCATTTCTCATCGGTGGGACTCTACGTCGATGCGGGGTGCAGGTACGAGACACCGTCGTCGTCCGGCGTGAGCCATTTCCTCGACCGGATGGCTTTCAAGGTGCGTACACAGCGGTGTCACCAGCTCCTACACTACTCACCGTTCGTGCAGACAACCAAGACCCGGTCAGGAGACGAGATGTCATCAGCAATAGACAAACTCGGCGGCCAGATCCTCTGCTCTTCCTCACGTGAATCCATAATGTACCAGTCATCTCATTTTCACCAAGCTAGCCCACTTGCTCTGTCTCTCATTGCCGACACCGTCCTCAACCCTGCGTTCACTCCGGACGAGCTTGATGCCCAGCGCGAAGCTGCTCGTTATGAAATACGCGAAGTCACTGCAAAGCCCGAGATGATTCTTCCAGAAATCGTACACGAGGTTGCATACGACAAGAAGACACTAGGGAACCCATTACTTTGTCCAGAAGAGCGAATAGATGTCATTGACGAGCCAGCAATGCGACAGTTCATGGCACAATGGTACCGCCCAGAGCGAATGGTCATCGCAGGAGCAGGCATGCCGCACGAAGAACTCGTCTCTCTCGCCGAGAAGCATTTTGCACACATTCCCTACTTCCCCGCGCCCGCGCCGCAGCCCGTCTCTCCCCGCTCCTCCCAAACATCGCAACAACAGTCCTCCCCTTTGCTCCCGCTCTCCCAGCCCACCTCCCTTTACAAGTCCCTCACTCGTGCCGCATCCTCCTATCTCTACCCCGTGTCTTCAGTCACCGGCGAGCAGCCCCCTCCGCCAGCCCCCATACCCGAAAGCCTCCGCGCGATCTACACGGGCGGGCACCGCTTCATCCCCTCCACCACATCCGAGTTTAACCACCTCTACCTCGCGTGGGAGGGCGTCGGGATTCACGACCCGGACGTGTACGCGCTCGCAACGGTGCAGTTGCTGCTCGGGGGCGGCGGCTCGTTCAGTGCGGGCGGCCCGGGCAAGGGCATGTACTCGCGGCTGTACACGCACATCCTGAACAACTACCCGCAGGTCGACCACTGCGCCGGATTCCACCACATCTACACCGACTCGAGCCTCTTTGGCCTGTTTGCATCGTTCGTCCCCGCCGCGGGCCGCCTCCAGGGCAACACCCCCGCGCAGATCCTCCCGCACCTCGTCCACCAGATCAGCTTGCTCCTCTACACGCCTGTTGTCGGCGTCGAGCTCGCACGTGCAAAGAATCAGCTCAAGTCCAGCCTCATGATGGCCCTCGAGAGCCGTGCGGTTGAGGTGGAAGATCTCGGACGGCAGGTCTGTGTCCTCCGCCACATGTGTGTTTCTGTCTTACTCACGTGCCTGTAGATTCTCGTGCACAATCGCAAGGTACCCGTGTCCGAGATGTGCGAGCAAATCGACGCGGTCGACAGCGACCGCATCCGGCGCGCCGCCGCGCGCATCTTCAGCCCCGACACGGCCAAGAAGGCGACCGTTATCGTCATGGGCCGTGAGGACGTCGGCGACTACAGCAAGACGTTCAAGAAGTATGGCGTCGGCGGCGCGTAAGCTGCTCGTACAGTATCCGTCTCTGCGATCCGTGTCGCATCATAAACCCAGTTAATGCAGCAGAATATATGATACAGCAGCGTATGAGTGACAGAGAAAAGCATAAATTAGTAGCAAGGTCAGTTGTATGGATGTTGAGCGTCATTTGATGCGGGTCCATCGGGTTTGTTGGACAGTCTTGAGGTAAATCAGCGAGTCTGGGCCAGGCACCATCCAGGCACCCTGCTTCTCCGGCATCAGGTTCGTCACCTGCCGCAGATTGCGTTAGATGCACGGGTGAAGAGCAAAGCTTGGCCACGCACTCGGAACCTTTGGCCCTCCTTGAAACTGCCCGGGGCCTCACCTTCGCCTACGTGTAGAGAGAGCACATCGGCGATCTTGAGCTGCACCTGGCGCAGTGGGGGCCTTTTCCTCCATTGCGCGTCCTTGAAGACCACGACCCTAAAGTTGCGCACGTTGCGCGGCGGACATGTAACCTACTGGCCTTGAGCTAAATGGATTAGGGTCACGGAAAGGCATGGCTCACGTCAAGCTCGCGCTCAATCTCATCCCGCGTCCCCTCGCGCTCCTTGTCGATCTGTTGGCGGATGTGGCGGGCGAGCCAGCCGGCTTGGGAACTGGTCAAAGTGGACAAGAACTGGTTGACATTTGGGTTGTCTTCGAGCTCAGAGTACCATTTGTCGACATCGTCAGGTGCAGAGTCTCAAGCCGATCATCAGTGCCGCTGTAGGGGGACAACACCAATATCTACTTACCGGAAAGTGAAGGGGCCCATATTCCCGCTTTGCGTTCCAGTCGTTCGGCGTACCCGAGATAAAGTTGGACTTTCCGGTCTAGGTCGCCATGTAGTCGAGATGCTTCAGCTTCTCGTCGAGCCTGACACGGGAATCAGCTCTGTGACCCCTTATCATGGATACATGACGTACCCCCCACTGATCACTCAGTTTGGTCTCGGTTTTCTGATCGTGCGGAAATCCGGGAGCCATCCGCCCATCACGTTCGGTGTACTCGACAAAGCCAATATCGTACAGCTACTATCATGTCAATTGAAGGACAGGAAACTAGAATGAGGAAATGCGCACCTTGACCACGACAAGGTCCACGAGGCTTATTAGTCCCCCATCGGGAGTCAAGCTGTCGAGCGTAGATACCGCGGGCTGTCGGACGAATCCTAGCTTCGCATGCCACGGCGCAAGCTTTGTCGAGTTGCCGTGCAGCTGCAGGGCCACAGAGCTGTACGCCTCCAGGATCTCACACGGGTCCTTCCGGTCCGCAAACTGACCAAACGATTGGGTTGACGCTCGTTACAAGACGGTGAATAGTGCTTACCCGAGCACCGGCGACCTCGATCTTTCTTCCTACACGTATCAAACCTTTCTTCACCGCTCGTCCAAGCGGCGCATCCGTCTTTGCGCGCAGCTTGTACCAGCCGTCGGTCACTTCCAAGTCGGGCGGGGTCTGGATCAGCACGCCGTCGTCGTCCAGTACCCCCGGCGCCTCAATGATGGCCGAGACGCAGAGGATCATAGGACACGACGGCGGAGCGTCGTGAGCTGCAATCAGGCGCAGGGCCGGCCGCGAACCGCTGTTGAGCTCGCGTTCGTATCTACCACAAGAATCAACGACGAGTGTGGAGGGCCCGGCGGATGACGCATACCTAAAGAGCAGCTGCCCGATGACCTCGTCCCAGCACCAGCGCCGCGTCTCGGGCTCTATCTCGCGCCAGGGCTCCAGCGCAATCATCCCGGCGAGTTTCCACAGGATCATCACCCAGTGGTTCTCGACCCACGCTTCAGTGGCCAGAGAACACCCCAGCTCCTTCAGACGCGTAAAAGCGGCCTCACAGCCCAGATTTGCGGTCTCACCGTCAGCAGAGACGGAGTGAAAGGCATAGTAGAATGCGGTACTAAGGTTGATTTGCTCGAGCTGTGTGACGGGGCTGGGAACTGGTCAGGGTGCGTCGTTGAAGTCGGTGGGAAAATACGTACATGCCCATATCCTCGAGCTCCCGCTGGCTATATCTCTGTGGCAGGAGGCCAGATGTCGCAAGGGTCTGTCTATCCGCTGGTGGCCCTGCCAGATATAGGGTCAATACAGATTGTACTATGGTCTTGATTTGCAGAGACGTACTCATATCAAAGAACGTCGCCCTGCCTTTCCCCTTGTCCACGCGCCTGGGCGTGGCCTGTTGACTGCTACTCCCGGTGACAACACCGACGTGCCTTGCCTGGCTTGCCTGTTGCTCTAGTAGTTTCCTACCGGGTTCACCGGGTCGCATACCCTCCTTGAACGGCGTCGCAAACCTCGGCTTCGACGCCGAACCACCCATTCGTCGTGGAGTAAGACCCAACGTCTTCGCGGGGGTCGAGAAACCACTCGGACGAACAGGCGTCACTGGGGCCGGGCACGTTGGTGTCGCCAGCGGCAGTAGGGCGCGCGACGGAGTCGCAGTCGGTGCGGCGAACGCAGCCAGCAGTTTCGAGCCGGACGCAGGCGCAAAGCCTGATGTCTTCGACGGGTTGAGGGGCGAGCTGACGTACCCCGGCGTGCCGGGCATGGATGCAGCTGGCTTGCGGACGAGGGGTGACTTGAACGGCGTGTTCTTTACGCGCAGCGCCGATGTCCCGCTGGGCAGGAGCGGCTTGGCAAAGCCCTGTGCGGCGCCCGCCGGGCTCGGGCTCTCTGGAGGCTGAGCGGGGGAGAACGAGTTTTCGACTGCACGCAAGGCTGGGCGTAGAGGAGTCTGGAAAGATGGGGCAGGACGTGCGGTAGTAGGCGGTGCAGCGTTCTCTTGGTCGTCGTGGGCTTCGGTAAAGTCCTCCTCGATCTCCTTCTGCCACTGCTGCATCTTCTCGCGGGCGCGAGCGAGCGCGGCGGCCGATGGTACAATCCAGCTACTTGCTTTCGCCTTGCCCTTGGTGGCAGAATCCGGTTTGTCGACACGCAGGAGGCTAGTACCGGATGTGAACCCTGGGAGTGCTGAGTCGCTCGCAGAGGTTGCAGGAGGCGGCGTGTTACTCTCGGAGGGCGGCATACTCAGCAGAACGTCACGACAAGATTTGAACAGAGGGAACAGTGGTGCGTGTTCCGGAGGGTCTGATATGGGTGCTGGTTCATCCGGGGAAGAAGTGTCCTGAACGGCCTTTGCGGATTGAAACCC